GTGGCCGGCGGTGGTGGAGAAAGGTTGGCGGTCATTGTCGGCGGTCGTTGTCGGCGGTTAGTTGTGGTCGACGACGATCGACGATGGCGAGGATAATCTTGGACCTGAGCTCATTCTCAAAACCTCAAGTTCTCTCTTAAGCCTCCTCCCCTTCATGTGGGAAAAAATTTGCGTACGTCAAGGGGTATGCATCTCTGCGTACATAATAGTGTACACGGGAGTTACATGAGAGTTACAAGCGTGTACACGAGAGTTACATAAGAGTTACAAGCATATATAATTGTTATAGCAGAGTTACACGAGATTTACACAGGAGGTTACACGAAAGTTACACGGGAGGTACAACAGGTTGTAACCCCTTGTAATCTCCCAACTCCCATCTACCCTATTATCTCCCATCTACCCTATTATCTAAGCAGAGACGGGTACAAGCAAACTTTTTCCCAAACCAACCCCACTCAGAACGCCGTTGCAGGTCTCCATCCATCCTCCTCCTCCTCCTCCTCCTCCTCCTCCTCCTGTAATGGACAATCCCTACGCCGCTCTCCTTGAAAAAACTCGCTTGCCCCAGCCCTGTTTCCAGCGTTTCGCCGTTGTCTCCCTTTTCCGACTCATCGGATCAACTCCCGGAGACATCAGCCTCGACTCCCCCGCTTGCCTCGACGCTATCTCTCAGTGCCTCCGGTCCCCTTCGGCCGCCGTCGTCGACCAGGCCGTCCGGGAGTTCTGTCGTCTTGTCGCTGCGGGTGATCGCATTCCCACCTCTGTCGCGCTTATCGAGCTGCAGTCTGCTCTCGAGGGGTGCGAGCCGCGTTTCGCCCCTGTATTAGTGAAGGGGATTGGTTTCCTCTGCCGCCTCGCTTTCCGAATGGATTTTTCCTGGGGTCGACGGTTCAATCGTGTCGAGCTGCACCCATTTGTCAAGGTAAAGCTCATCTGTGCTCACTAGAGTTTGAAATTATCCTGCATGTTATGGGGAAAAAAGAGTCGTTTTATTGGTTTTTTACATGGTTCGCCTGTTAGGTTTTGATTTCGCGATTAATCTTCACCCAAATCTGGTGCAAGGCACTCTGTTTTTGTTTCTTTCATCAGGAATATCAGCTAGCATATGGTGCTTTCTTTTATTGAAGAGATATCTTTTGCAGATGAGAGGGTAAGATTAGGGACTGTCTTGTAATGGATTTATTATACAAGATTTTATATAAATTATGCCAAACCATGAAAAAGCCCCTTTTAAATAGTAGGATATATGAAATCCGGATTTCACCTATTTTTTACATCGTAACTTTCTGTATTATTTACCCGGCAGAAGAATCGAATAGTGGTGAGAACCGAAATGAGGACTTGGGAAGCCCAAGGGGGGTGGGGGGTTGGGAACACAAAAGTGTATATTCGTGTATAAATTATCACATGGGAGGGACAACAAGGGCTAGAAAAGTCTCACCTGAGATTCGAACAATGGATGCTACTGGGTTGTGCCACAACTTCGACTTGAGCTCTCGAGAGCAGAGGAGGAGGATGCATGTGCCAACATACAAACTTGAGCAATCGAGTCGAAGGAAAGAAGCTTAGTGCGGAGGCGAAGGAGAGTCCCTCGTGTCCTAACTGACCATTCAAGAAGAGAAGAGGAAGAAACATTGCACGGAGGAGGAAGAGTCGACGAGTAGAGTTTGAGCGTTCGTGATGGAGGGAGTCGAAACCGAGCTCTCGTGCTATACAAATCTTGTGGGAAGAAGAAGTTTCTCTCGTGGTTGGGGCTCAATCGACCAATAATAAAATTATAAAGTATTTAATAAAATGTTATACATATATTTTTAATATACATACATACATACAATTTTTTTCTATGGAAGCCGCAGATTATATTGAAATAAAAAAAGATACAAAAATGTTATATGAGAGGGGCCAATAGATGATGCCCTACTCATACGATACATGATACGAAGATATCTAAAAAAAATACAAAAGACTAAAAAAAAAGAAAACATGCAAAAACAAGTGTCTATGAACGAGACAATTTAGACCTGCATCTTCCTCTGTTTCTTGAAGCATATCCATATAGCAAACTCTGAAGTGTTGTTCCATTGCCAGGAGTGACTAAAGTATCATCCATTAAATTTCCAAGCCGAACAGTGTCCCCAGCCTTCTTCCTCCGCCGAGGAGTGTAAAATTGCCATTCTTCTTCTGAAGACCGTTCAGTTTGATCCATAGAAGGAAAGACAGTTGCAGCGATGAGTTCCTGAGTTTGTGTAGGTCAGTCTTCCAAAACTTGGGAAACACCTGCCCTCTCAACATGTAGTTCTACCAACTGATTAATTGCAGTAAGATGGTTTGTGTTTGACTCTAAATCTTCCTCATTAGTATTAGGAGACACCTTTTTCGTCATCTGAATGTGAATGTTCGCTACATCCCTATCTTGAATCACCTCATAGAGGGGAGCATGAGCACCCTCCACGGTAGGTAGAGCTTGAGAGGGTAGTATGTCAACTCTAGTAGAAGAAGGGGCAGTGACCGCGTCCTGCCTTTCAGGGGCAACCACCCGACTCTCTTCCAACAAACGACCCTTATCAACATTTTCCGAAACAATATCAGTAGACAAACCATTTTGCACCATATCCACCATGGGCATAGCAATAGGTATCACAAGAAGTGATGAAGAAGATATAACCTCCGCAGAAGAAACCGGAGGTGGGGCTACAATAGACCGAAGATGGTGATGCAACCGATAACAGGATGAAGAGGAAGATGGGGATGCAACCGATAACAGGATGAAGAGCTATGACCAAACATTCCACAGTGAGAGCAGTATTGGGGATGAGGTCTCATCACAATCTTCTGCCAATAACCCTGATGAGGGGAGTCAATCCAAATCTCCCCTGGAAATGGTTGAGTGATGTCGCGCTTTACAAGGACACAAGCTTCAGATGACCTGGTTGTATCAAGCGTGGGAGCATCGACCTTCAGCGGTTTCCCAAAAGCAGTTGCTAATGTATAAAAGATTTCATAATTAAAGAGATGCATCTTGACCCCTGAAAAATATACCCAAACCTGGATAATAGGAGATTCCAATTTAGGATCAAAATCCACTGTTCATTTTAGAATTTTCATAAATCGATTATCAATTTTGAGAACTTTTTGAGCAAAGAGTTGGGTATAATCTGCGTCATTTGAAAGTTGAATGAGAACGTGACGACCATCTAGCGAACCAACTTTTCAACTCTTTGTGAGCTTAAGAGAATTGAAATGCTTTTTAATAATCTCAAGCTTGGGATTTCCATATGACAACAAGAGTATATCTACATGCTGAAGCCAATATACTTGTTTCCTCATCAGTGAGAAACAAAGCGGGTTTGCCATTATTTCTTCCCAGTATTTTAATAAAGGTATAACTACCTCCAAATTCATGTGCATCATGAAATTCTTGAGAGAAGAAACAGGAATGGCCGCCTGCTTCGGGAGTAGAACCTGGGAGTAGAACCCCCGGAGACAGCCGCTGCATAACTCGGGGCCATTCCCCCAAACCGGAACCAGAAACAGGGAACACAAATCTCGAAAGCAGACGAAAGAGGCCACAGACTGCGACCGGGGAAGAAGGTTGCGACCGTAATATCGCAGCGTAGGTAGCAGACGAGAACACAATTTGCAACTGGGGACGAAGGCTCGGCCGACGCACTTGAACGAAGACGACGATGAAACAGACGTCGACGGAGAACGACGCAGTCTGCGACGCGACCAAGGACGTGCGAGTCTGCATCCGAAGCCAAGCGGACAAAATGGCGGCAGACTCCCTTATCTAGAATCTCATCGTGATGAAGAAGAGAGCCCCACTGTCTCTTTGACAGAGTCGTACTAGAGGGTGCGATTGCATATATATATATATGTATGTATGTATATATATATATATGTATGTATGTATATA